TACTCCGAGTGCAGGGTGGGGGGGAGGAGGGCCGAGAGAGCGGGCTCCACGAATCCGCTGACCAGGGAAGGGGAAGAGAAGACCTAAGTCAGATTATGGGAGACTTTCAGGACAGATCTCTGGGTCTGTGTGTGAATCTGTGGGTGTCTTTGTGTCGGTCTATGGGGCTCTGAGTGAGTATCACTGTGGGTGACTCTCTGGTTCTCCCTGAATAAGGCCAGAGGGAGGGAGACTGTTCGGGCACATCTCTGTGGGTCTCTCTGTGAGTCTCTGTGCGGTGGTCCATCCCTTCGCTGTTAAGGGCCATTGCCCGAAACGTCTATTATACACGTTCTTGTGTCGAATGTGTTGATTGTTATTTGAGTGTCGTCAGTCGGGGGGTGAGGCGGGGCGTTACGCTTCAAGTTGATTTTGTTTGACCAGCTGAGAACTCAAAGAGGCCAGGGAGTCTCATTTGTCAAGAGTGACTCGGGGTGGTGAGTTGGGGTGCGGCAGAGGATGGCGGGGGGGGGGGTCCCGTGGGCTCGGCCCGACTCGCGTGACCGATTTCCCTTGGTGTTTAGATGTGGATGTGGTCTCTAGCACCATTAGAAATCGGTTATGCGGGCGGGAATCGTCACCCACGTCGCCATCGTCAGCTGCTACAGCGGTCGCACGAGGTGCAGGGAGATAGGGGGGGGTGAAGAGGCGAGACGTGGGGAGCGGTGGCGCAGCGGTTAGCGCGCTGCGCTGCGAAGCCGGCGACCCGAGATCAACTCTCGCTCACGGTCAACACCAACGCCGATGACGATTATCTAAACTGGACCCGGCCATCCCCTAGATCAACTCGCTTCGAAATTAGTACCTGGTGTGTAAACATCGCCGCTGGGAAGACAAAGGCGGCCGGGCGTGGTGCTGCCCACCCACCTCGTGTGCCGTGCCGGCCTTCATCGGTGCTCCTCGCTAACAGCACTTGAACCAAAAGTCTGTCGAGGCTGTAAGTGGTATGTTAGTCATGGCACAAGATAATACGAAATACATATTGTTTTACATCAAAGTGGTGTGTGTGTTTTTTGTCGCGTTATGATGAGAACCTTGCAGCAGGCATCATTGGTCACTGCACGTGACTGATGAGTCCCGATGAGGATGAAGCCGGTCGGTGACATCTGCTCAAGTTCATTGCGACGGTGACCCAACACACGAGGACTGCTGTAGGAACTGCTGCCTGAGTGCTTGTTGTGCACGTTGTGTGAAGCCGCACATACAAAGGCAAAGATCCCCCGTGTAGCCTTAACAGACTGTTGGGGCAAGTGCTGTATTTCAGGCCTGCCGGCCGGCACGCCACGCAAGGTGGTGTGGCCAACACCACGCCCAGCCGCGTTTGTTTCCCGCCATTGCTGATGTTTACACACCGCACAAGGTACTCGTTTAAGGTTGAGTCGACCTAGGCGAAGCCCAGCACCGTTCCAAACATTCGTCACTGATGTTAGCCGTGAGCGGGAATCGAACTCCGGTGGCCGGGTTTGGAGTGCATTGCGCGAACCACTGCGCCACCGTTACAACAACCACCGCCACTCGCCGCTAAGTGGCGCTCAAATCACCACGGCGCCTGTGCCAGGCTAGGTGCACCTTGAAGCCACGTGAAGTGTCGAAGTCTCGCTGGCAAGACGTGACGGGACAGACCTTGGTGCTATGGGTTGACTGACTGAGATGACTGGCAGATCCCTACTGTGCCAACTTGCTGCGATTTAACCGCCCGGCACTCCGCTCGTTGTTGTGAGCATCGCTCCTCTGCCCTCCGTTGTTGTTGGAGGGCGACTGCCTCCAACTGCCCAGTAGCGTCCTTCACGAGCCTCCTCCACAGAGGCCGATCTTGACACCGCTGGTACCAGTCATCGGCAAGTCCACTCGGCTCCACATCCTCCTGTACCACATCACTCCATCTTTTCTCAAGCTCACCGCTGCCGTGGTGTTCATGGTGAATCCACTCGACTGAGTTCGATCACTGGCCAGTTCAGTCCAGTTTGGTTCAGTTTATCCTGATGTCCCCTGTGAGCTAAGAGGCTCTTGAATCGGGTTTCATCAACAAAAGCATCGGTTCCCTGGCAAACGTAGCAACGTACACAACAGGTCGCCAGAAATGTTGACGTAAAAATAAATGCATAATGAAGAGCAAAAATAAAGCAGCGTATATTGCAAATTATCTTTCAAATATTTAATTAAAGTGAGGATTATGACTAATAAATGTATTGCACATAAGGCATAAGAACCAGTTCGGACCCGTCCCCGCTCCTTCAGTAACTGGCAATGACCAGCGAGGTGAAGTATGGTCACATGGCTACCACACGGCGGGATGGAGGTGGCGGTGTTCACCCAGCAGTGGATTGAGAATGCGTTATTAACAGCAGGCGGTGTTAGTTACGCGTGTGGCTATTTGAAGCCGTGTTTGTGTTGTTTGTGTTGTCCATTGCTAGGAGAGTACCGCGCAGAAATAATTCGCCACTCCGCCGAGATTCGACTGTAAGATTCTATTCTTTTTTTTTATTTCTCTTCGGAAAATGTAGCGGCCTCTAGCGACTGCAGGGGTCACGCGAATCGTGAGCATGGCATCGATGCCGCTGTGTTGTAGTGGCCAGCACACTGCACTTGCCTATTCTATCTCCCGGAGCGGCAGTTTAAACAATGGGAGAAAGTGTCCGTCATCTGACCCCATCTCCTCTATCCAGCCAGCAGTAGAGATTCGTGGGTTACAGCCACAATAAGTCGATCGGAAGGTGGAACGCGGTGGATGGGCTAAAATGCGGGCACTCCCATGTCTTCCACAACGTGTGGCCAGCGTGTAAGAGTAGGCCGAAACACACTCCCCTCTCGAGAGAGGAGTGCTCTCGGTCTCTCCAGAGCTCCCTGTAAGTGTAATCCCTTCCACTGGCACTTGCAGGGCTGCGCTTACATCTTCACAACCCTCCCCACGTGTCCCCGGCGATGGCTATTTATGTTCATCACCTTGAAGCAGCGCCAGAATTGACTTCCCCAGCGACACCCCCCCCCCACCCCCCTCCCCCCCCGCGGGGTGATTTTCCGAGGCCTCGTCATCCCCGCGCATGTGCGTCCAAGTCACCCGGGGATGCCGCACCACCGTCAGATCTCTCAGGCTAAGCAGGCTTCCAGCCTGGACATCGCTCGCTCGCTCCGGATGAGCGATGACCCCGCCGGGGCAGCGCCGCTGTTGTCGGCGGCCGCGTGGCTCCGTCGCGAGCGGCACGGGGGGGGCGGGGGGCGGGGGGCAGTACGGCGAACGATGGCGAAAAAAAAACGATCGCGGGCGTCTGAGCCGCACTAATCGGGTACTGGAGGGTTGGAATACAATGGACTTGGCAGCAGCGCTGCGCCTACACTGGGTGCGTTAGCGGATGTGTCGTGAGCCCCTCAAAGGGTTTTCAAAGTCCAATTCAGCCCTCGGGTAAATAAAATAAAATAAAAGTTCCCCACCCTTGCACTGCACACTCCCTTTCTTCGCTCTCCTTTCCTCACTCTCTTTTTTTTTTTTTTTTTTTTGCGTGGCATCGGGTTTATTTTATTATTCATTTCTGTTTTTATTGAGTAAGAGTTTCATTTTATCACATTGGTATTTTAAATAAAATATTTAAAAAAAAATCCTAAAAAGTGGGATATTTTGGAAAAAAAATTCACGAAAATAAATTGTCACGCACAACGAGTCAATGTGCAAAATGTCAGCTCGATTGGATCACGGGAAGTGGGTAAAAAAAAACGACCGAAAGATTTGCACGGTCGTAAGCGCGCAAGCAAGCAAGTTAACTTAATATAAAGGATTTAAAAAAAGAGCCAAAGCGCAGCAAAATAACACTCGTCTAAATAAATTCTGCACTGCCAAAGCGTTAATTAAATCCGGGCCAGCACAACTTGGCGTGTTGCAATGCCTGCCCCAATTCATTTAAGAATTCAAGACCACTCAACACAAAACCAGTCCCCACATCTTGAATACACACGTCCGCCTCATTTGTATGACACTGGAGGCTTCTGGGAGGCTTTTAATGTTATACCCTTGCAGCGCTGGGTTACACAGCACCCGAGTTCCAGATCCCTGGATTTGTGTTTTTAGAAAGTGCATGGCAATTCAAGCTTCACATCTTCCTTCCATGACAACTTGGGAAACCAGGGACACTGGCCCTGGCTTATGAATGCTCCATAGCCCTCTCTTATCGATGCTACATAGCCCTGGCTTATGAATGCTCCATAGCCATCTCTTATCGATGCCCCATGGCCCTGGCTTATGAATGCCCCATGGCCCTCTGTAATCAACGCTTAAAGCAGAGCTCTGCCAACATGCGTTACAGAGGAGTAATGGATCCAGCCGTCTCCCTGGCAAGTCGATGAATTGTAGCAATGGAGGGTTGCGGTTGGATTTATAAAAATCAAGTCATTGTATTGTTTACATTGTGGCGCGGGCAGCGGCCACTCGTGGCTGCAGGGGTCACGTGAAGCAATCGCATACAATTGTTAGGTCACAAGATAGTGAGGCATGGCGGTCGGATTGGGGAGGCCTTTATCCAGCGGTGGATTGACCATGGATGATGAGACGATGCTACGAATAGAAAAGCGTCTACTCTTACACTTGTGATCGCAAGCTTCCCCCTCCCTCTCCCCTCTCTTCTCCCTACTCCTCTCATCATCCTTCTGTCCCCCGTCCTCTCTCTCTCTCCCCTCCTCTCACTCCCCCATCTTCTCTCCTCTCGATCCCCTCTCTCCCCCGCTCCCTTCTCTGCCCTCTCCCTACCTCTCTCCTGCGTCCACTCTCTCCCCTCTCCCTCTGCCCCCTCTCTCTCCCCCCTCACCTCTCCCTCTGCCCCCTCTCTCTCCCCCCTCACCTCTCCCTCTGCCCCCATCTCTCTCCCTCCTCACTTCTCCCTCTGCCCCCTCTCTCTCCCCCCTCACCTCCCCCTCTGCCCCCTCTCTCTCCCCTCTCCCCGTTGCTATAGAGACCGGGCCGCCCCCTCGGCTGCGCCTGATGTTGACGTTGGGTTTCTGTTTGTCCCCTTGCGTCATCGCGTCAACACATTGGCAGGGAGAGGCACGCACAGAGACACACAGAGACATACAGAGACACAGAGAGACTCATAGAGACACACAGAGACACACAGAGACTCAGAGACACACAGAGACACATAGCCACACATAGAGACACAGAGACTCAGAGAGACACACATAGACACACAAAGACACACAGAGACACATCGCCACACATAGAGACACAGAGACTCAGAGAGACACACATAGACACACAGAGACTCATAGACACACATAGAGACACACAGAGACACACAGAGACTCATAGAGACAGATAGAGACACAGAGACTCATAGAGACACACAGAAACTCATAGAGACACACAGAGACTCACAGAGACACACCGATACTCATAGAGACACACAGAGACTCATAGAGACACACATAGACACACAGAGACACGTAGAGACGCACAGAGACACATAGACACCCGTAGAGGCACTGAGCCACAGAGACACATAGAGACATTCAGAGACAGACAAGCAGGTAGTCATAGACACATAGAGAGACATATACACTCATAGATGCACAGAGAGACAAAGACACGCACATAGACCTGTACACAGAGAGACATATAGAGACCAACAACAGCATCAGCCATTCGCCACTGACTGATTTAACGTCACCACAGCGCTTGTGCCAGGCTAGGTGCACTTGGAGGCACTCACGCTCGTCACAGACCCAGGTGCCATGGGTTGACGGAGCTGACTGGCAAACGTAGACAGACAGAGACATCAATACACACCATCCACATCGATACACAGACATAGCAAAACCGAGGCAGACATACACACATATACAGGCAGAAGTAAGTAGACACGCACACACACAAAGATCCCCAACACAGCCTTAACCAGACTGTTGGGCACGTGCTGTTAGCGAGCACACTCACTGACACACTCACTGACTTGCACTGACACACTCACTGACACACTCACTGACACACTCAAACACAGCAACACACTCTGGCTGACTGCCCACTCACTGACTTGCACTGACACATTCACTGACACACTGACACAATCACTGACACACTCACTGACACACTCACTGACACACTCACTGACTTGCACTGACACACTCACTGACACACTCACTGACTTGCACTGACACACTCACTGACACACTCACTGACTTGCACTTACACACTCACTGACACACTCACTGACACACACACTGACACACTGACACACTCACTGACACACTCACTGACTTGCACTGACTCACTGACACACTCACTGACACACTCACTGACACACTCACTGACACTGACACACTGACACACTCACTGACACACTCACTGACACACTCACTGACACACTGACACACTCACTGACACACTCACTAACACACTGACACACTTACTGACACACTCACTGCCACACTGCTCCGTGACACACTCGCGCACCTGTGTCGTCGAGCGTGTAGAGAGAGTCCCACCACTCTCCGCCGCTGACCTCCGGGTCTCACCGAGTGACTCACAGCTCCTCAATTTCAAATAAAACAAAAAGGTCGGATACCGCCTTGTCCACCTCGTCCACCTCCTCCGCCTCGTCCACCTCCTCGTTCATTCAAAGTCGCCGCGACTTCCACCCGCGGCCGACATGGAAAACAGCGGCACACGGCGGGGCAGCTACGGCAACAACAAAAGTAGCAGCAACAACAGCAACAACAGCAGCAGCAGCAACAACAACAGCAGCAGCAGTAGCAGCAACAACAGCAACAACAGCAACAACAGCAGCAGCAGCAACAACAACAGCAGCAGCAACAACAACAACAGCAGCCCACGGGGAGAGCCGCGAGAATTGGGGGTCGCCCCAGGGGTGGACTATGGGGGTGACGCGGCGGGGGGCGCGGAGGACCCCCCCCTGTACGTGCAGCAGCTGTACAGGTGAGCACAGGAGCCGCGCGCAGGTAACGTCCGCGGAGCTCCTGAACTCACCTGCGTACAGGTGAGACTGGGGGTTCTGATATCACCTGTATACAAGTGAGAGTTGGGGTTCTGGTATCACCTGCATACAGGTGAAAGTGGGGTTCTGAACTCACCTGGGCACAGGTGAGGCTGAGGGGTCTCGATTTACCTGCGTAGAGGTGAGATTTGGGGGTGAACTCACCTCCGTACAGGTGAGACTTGGGGTTCTGGTATCACCTGCGTACAGGTGAAAGTGGGGTTCTGAACTCGCCTGGATACAGGTGAGACTGAGATTCCTTAACTCACCTGTGCGCAGGTGAACATGCTGATGCAGGCTCCAAACAGGGTGCAAGCAACTCCTACCAGCGCTTGCTATGAACGACTCGTACAGGTGACTAAGCGGAATCGACAGGCGATCCCTACCCTGGTGGATTGGGCTCGAGAGTGGGACGAGATTTGTCTCCATCCGTCCTCCTCTATGGAGGGAGGGGACGGGTCTACGCGACCTCTGATCCCGGGGAACGACCGCGGATTTCTATCCCGAGTCGCTGTTGACTCAGCGGCCGCGATTGTTTCCTCTGCCTGAGAACGGCTCCCTGACTCCCGGAGCTGTGCGGAGGAATGCGTGACCTCTAACCGTGACCTTAACCTTGACCTATAACCATTACCTCTAAGCGTGGTCTCTAATGTGGAACTCAACGATACACCAAGCGGCTATTAGGAACAACACCCGAAACGTCCATGAGCCCGTCAGATCTCGCAAGCTAAGCAGCGTTGCGCCTGGGGATTCGTCGGATGGTCGACCGCCATGCCTAGCAGCAGATATGAAAGATACCAGGAGTAATCATCCACAGCCCTTCTTTGTCAATCCACTGCTGGATGCGGGCCTCTCGGTCATGGGGTGGGGGGATTGTTTGACTTCCCCGCGCGCCGGGACAGTGCGCGTTGATGGAGGTGCGGCGAGTCGGGAAGGCGACCTGTGCGCTCCCCTTGCGGGCACGCCTCGCCGTCAGCCGATGCTGGGAGAGGGAGGACGGCGATGACGTCTCGCTGTGGTCCCCGCACTCACTGATTCATCTCAGCGGCAACACATCGGAACGTGGACACGTCGAGTGCATAGGACGAGAGCAATGAGGGTACATTGCAATAATAATATAGGATAATTGCGAATACGTGTACCTGGAACTCTAGTGGTAGTGCCTTACGCCGCTAATCCCTAACGAAAGCCAACCTCGCAGCGTTCCGGAAAATATCGAGCGAGAAATGAGATCTCAAATGATGCTGCCCCCCCCCCTCGCGGCTCACCCCCCACGCTGCTCACCACCCCCCCCCCCCGGCTCCTCACCACCCCCCCCCCCGCTCCTCACCACCCCCCCCCCCCCCCACGAACCTCACAACCCCCCCCCCCGCTGCTCACCCCCCCCCGCTTCTCACCCCCCTCCCCCGCTGCTCCCCACCCCCCGCCCCCCCCCCAGGCTGCTGGGCCAGGCCGAGGCGGACACTTTCCTGTTCCCACGATTGAAGTCGAGCGAGCAGCGACCTCCCAAAGGGGCCCCGGCCGAGGGGACCCGCAAGGTGCCAGGTGCGTGGGGGGCGCCGCGGTGGCTCGGAGATGTTAACGACCTCTCCCGCTGTACAGGAGGTCGTGGGCTCGATCCCGACCCTGATGTCTGCCGTATATTTGGAGTTTTCCTGTTCTCCCCGTGGTTGTGTGGATTTCTTTCCGGCTCTTGCGGTTTTTTCCCTCCACATTTAGAAACACGCGTTGCGTTGAGCTCTCATTTGTGGCCAGGTCGCTTCTGAAAAGAGCTACAGTGGGCCTTGCCCCGTAAAATAAACAAAAAATGTAACAAGTTATAGTTTATAGTTTTAGAGGGAGTGACCTCTCTGTCAATCCCAGGGCTTCATCTTAGCCGGGTCAGAGCCAGAACAAAAACGAATTCCCCACCTCGGCACACCACATCTAGTAAACCTCCCCCTCTGGTGGTGTGGCGACCACTCACGTGCCACCTACTTCAGTCTCGTTACCAGCGTCGAGAGAAATACTCAATGAGAAGTTACACCCTGCTCAGCCGTACCCCCACGTGACTCCGAGTAGCACCACGTGACTCTCTAGTGCCCCCACGTGACTCCCTAGTAGCACCACGTGTCACGTGTGGCATCGACACGTGGCATCCGTGTTGTCGTTGTCTGCAGAGCGCGGCGCGCGAGCTGAGCGCGCGTGGCAGGCGATGTGCGACCGCTCCCGACTCCGCTTCGAGCAACTCCAGCTCCACGCAGCCCCTGTGCACCTGGTGAGAAGGAGTCCCTCGTGGTGGGGGTCAAGGTCAGGCTCGGGGTCAATGTCACGGGCAGGCACGTGCTTCGTTCAGTAAGTCACAGGGAGAGGTTTATTGAGCTCAGTTTTGTTTTTGAGTGAAGCGAAGTCAACGTTTTGTTTCTGCCCAAACGGGTGCCGAACAGTGCTCCCCCTGGATTGGAGGCCCTGATTGAGTGGTGTAGCTTCCACGTTACTATGCCGGGGGTCGCTTCACGATGAAAGGCCATGATGAGAGGTATGGCCTGGAGTTAGGATCGACATTATTCCCTAAAATAACTTGATTCTAACGTCAGCCAGATGGTCCTTGTCTCCCTTGTCCACCCCATGTCTCCTGTCTGGCCCCGTGTCTCCTCGCGTCTCACCTGTCCCCCCGTGTCTCCAGTGTCTCCCTCTCTCCTGCCCCCCCCCCTCACCCCCATCATATCCCCACTCACACTGGTCCCGTGGTACCTCGTGTTTCCAGTGTCTGTGTCTCCCTGCGCCGCCTTTGTCCCCTCGTCTCTCCCGTCTCTCCAAGTGTACCTTCCGCGTCTCCTGCATGCACTGTATGTTAAACTTCTTTCGCACCGTACGTAGCCAACCGTGCTTATCGGAGGTTCGTCTCCACGGTATCTCCCATTGACACTTCTCCCGTGTCTCCGTGTGCCCCGTGTCCCCGTGGGATGGTGGAGTCGGCGGAGCTGTCCGCGGTGCTGATCGCCAAGCTCCGCCACCAGGAGGCGCTGCGTCGCTCGCGTCTTCTCCGCCTGCAGGGCGCCAACTGGGGGGCGGGGGTCCTGGGCCGAGACCCCCACCGGGACCCCTGCCGCGGGGGGTTCGGTCCCGCCTGGTTCCTGCTCCCGGCGATCGGCGAGCAGCAGAGGCAGCAGGTGCTTAGACCCAGTCTGTCTATTTATGGTGCAGTAATAACGCCAGTTAGTAATCCTGGAAGCGACACCGAGTCTCAAAGCTGCTTTGAAGAGACTCCTGCTACATGCGTGTTATGAGAGGTTAGAGCTATTTAGGTGTTTAAACTGTGCACATGGTCACAATCCCAACGCATTAATCGGCCAGCAACAAACAGCACCATGGTCTTGAATCGAGCAAGGTTGTTTATTGTGAGGGCTTGGAGCGGGGGACGACGGGAGAAGGAATCCCAGAGTGGAGCAGTCGAAGGGAAAGAGTGGTGAGTGGGTGAGTGTGTGTGTGAGTGAGTGGGTGAGTGTGTGTGTGAGTGAGTGGGTGAGTAGGTGAGTGAGTGTGCTGAATGGGTGAGAGAGAGTGGTGGGTGAGTAGGTGAGTGAGTGTGTGAGGGAATGGGTGAGCGAGTGGTGGGTGATTGAGCGGGTGAGTGAGCGGGTGAATGGGTGTGTAGGTGAGTGAGTGGGTGGATAGGTGGGTGAGCGTGTCGGCAAGTGCGCCGTTGTGACCTGCCGTGGTCGTGGTTGGATACAGTGTGGACGAGACGAAAGAGTTCACGTTGGCTTCACGCGGGAGGAGCTCGGAGAGCGGTTTGCTCTCCGGAGCAGTGACCCTGCCCGCCCGTGACTCTCCGCCTGCCCTCTGCTCTCTCTCTCTCCCGAGGCCATCTGTCAAACGCCCGCCGGTGACCGTGGCCCCAATCCCCCCACAACGGTGGGAGGCGGGGGCCCAGCGGGGACCCACGGGGAAGGGAAGTGCACCAGGGTTCGCTACAGGTGAGCTGAGATTAACAACCGCCTACCTGTAAAGTGTTGTTGTTATTCGCACTCGTCACGCATTTACGTGGATGGGGGATGCGGGGGAGCCGTGATGACGTCGGCACACACGAACCCGGCTCAAGGTCGTGGGATGCTCGCCCGTGCGACAGCCGGCAAAACTTGTTTTTCTAATTAAATAATGTAGCAGTACAGTCGTGTATGATACGTTTAAAAACGTATTTAAAATATATTCTCGGTGGGATTCTGCCCCAATGCCCCCGCGCGCCCCACGCAAACCCGGCGCCACTAATGGGCCCCCTTCTTCAGATTCCTCTCGGAGACAACAAACAACACCCCGGTGATCGGGGGCCGCGCCGGCAGCAAGGCGGCCGCAAGTTGGGGGGTACGGGACCCCCGGAAGAAAGTCGGCACTCACACCGAGGGCTCGCCGCCGAAACCCTCGTCGATCCCCGCGCAGGCCCCCTCTGGGGACCCCTGCCGAGACCCCCGGGAAGGAGGGGGCCTGTGTGAGCCGCTGTCCCTGCCCGCGCTCGAGGCGCGCGGCCGCGTGGTGCGGGCGCTGGGGCGCGGCGCGTTCCGGAACGGCGCGGCGCGCGTGTGGCTCGTGGACGAGGCAGCCGCTCGCCGCTTCTCCTGAGTGACGTTACACGGCAAGTCCTCGCTTAACGCGGTAGATGCGTTCCTAAAAAGTGTCGCGTCAAGCGGGTAAACATTTTTTCCCCCCATAAATAATGTAGCGATAACGTTCGGCGAGATAGGACGAACAACTACGCACACACGCAGTGAGATGGCGTGACAAATACCTGAGGGTACGCCGCGCGTTACTGTTTCATTCCGCGTGTTGTATCGTAGCGCTCAGTCGCGCAGCCTAAGAAAGTAGTTCGTTGTCGACTACTCATGAACCGCGTTATAATGGTGCACGTTCGGCGTTGTGGGAAAGCGTTTCCTAATTGAATAACCGCATTGTAGCAAGAACGCATTGTGTGAACACCGCGCGTTAAGCACGGACTTACCTATATTACCTGAAAGTTAAAGTTACAGACTTGTTTACGCCACGCACGGGTTTCCTTAGAGTCAGAGGCGCGGGAAACTGCAGACGCGCGGGAAAGGCAGCCGGAATCGGTGCTACGAACAATCACCCAAGCTCTGTGATCCTACACTTGGATGTTTGGCCAACTCAGTGAATGCGCGGTGATACCACACGGGAAGAGAGCCGAGTGCCTAGAGAAGGCCCAGGGGGGTGATGCTCAATCACAGATGGAGACAGCCGGACATGAATCCACCGCCTTGTCCTGACAAGCCAGGGCATGGGCACATCCTGGACGCCCACGGGAAGGGAGTTGCACAGCCCATCTGAGTGTGATCCATCAACTCCCGCTGCTGCTTCCACAAGTGCTGGACTACAAGGCAGCCGCGTGCAGCAGCCGCGTGCAGCAGCCGCGTGCAGCAGCAGCAGCAGCGGAGCCACCGCCCTGCGCGGGTTCCAGTTTCTCGAGGGTTTATTAAATCACGTGAAGATATACGTTGTGGAAAATCAATATTGTACGAGAAGGAATCAAACGTAGCAGTAAATATCACGCCAGCCAGAGCCTGGCCACATGGCTCAGTAAATATGAACAAGGCCCCCCTCCCGTGCCGCCCGTGTGCCAGGTCGCGCGTCTCTCCTGCACCGCCATGGGTAATTAAACTCGCTCACACTCGCCTTGGGATTTGCTTTATTTTCCTTCCAAACGGATTGTGTGCTTACTTCTAAAATTATATGTTCTTGTGTTTAGTTTGTTCGATGGTAACGGTGCCTTGGATGGCCAGATTCTGTGCCGGGAAGGCGCCACAGATTCACGAATAAACATCGACTCGGCTTGACTCGTCCGGAACATCGTGGTGTTAAAAGAAAAAAAAGAAAATATATACATGATGATCGACGACGTTTCGGACAGTGGCCCTTCATAGCACAGGCATAACGCTCGCTCGGCGCGAGGGACGCATGAAGCCCCATGCTTAGCTGGGCCCTCCACCACCCGGTCACTCGTTTGACTTTAGATGCAACGCCTCGCGTCGTCCACCAGGAGGCGGACGACGCGAGGCGTTCGCAAGAGTCGGCCCTCGAGGGCCACATTCGAAACTCCAAAATGACACCGCAAATGACTAAATGTGGATTAAACACAGCAGCAACCATCGCCCCCAACTCGCATCGCCGTGCCCCGGGTCACTCAAACGGGACCTGGTCCCTTGATTACTCACCACCTCGTGTCCACCCGCTGGACTGCTGAGAGGCGAGGTTCATCCACAAACACCCGGGGATCAAACCCACACACTTTGTTTTATTTCGCTACCCATATCGCCCTGGCGACACACACCACGCGTGACGAGGTAAAGGCGCATCGCTGCAATTGCTGTGCTTGCCCCACTGCTGGCGGAAGAGCCTCCACTGGAGGAAGCTGTCGAAGGGCGCCAGAGTGGCTAGGAGATGTTGACGATCTCGCCTGGTCGACAGGAGGTCGTGACGTCTGCTGCTGTGTATTTGGAGTTTGCGTGTCGAGTGGATTTTTCTCCGGGTCCTCAGGGTTTCCCCTCCACATTTAGAATCACGTGTTTAGAGTAGTTGGCTGCTGTAAATTTACACTTCGTTGAGCTGTCATTTGTGGCCAGGTCGCTTCTGAAAATAGCTACTTAGCTCAGTCGGCCTTACTTGGTAATATGCAAATAGAAAGAACCCCCTCTAGAGGGTAGTTGGCCTACTCTTCCACGCTGGTCAGTGCGTCTCAGAAGAGGTGGGAGTACCGACACTTCATCCCCTCCCGCCACACGTGACCTGCCGAACTGTGACGAACCCATTCACACTGCCGCATCGGGAGATCGACCTGGCGGCCTTTGAATTGTGCATTCTGCTGACCGCCGCACCACGAAAGCATCCATATCGTGAGTATCGTAGAAAAAAAGACAAATACATCCCATAGAGTCGGCAAAGACTGTTGGGGAAAGTGCTGTTGGCGATCACCTATTAAGGCCAAAACGGCGCACGAGCAGGTAGCGTTTTCAGCGCCACGCCCGGCCACCTTTGTCTCCCCAGTGCTAATGTTTAAACGCCGCACTGGGTTCTCGTTTGAGGCCGAGTCTACCCAGCTGAGGGCGGGGACAATGTCGGGTTAGTGGTGCAGTGCGCTAAACCACGTGCGCCACCGCTCCCCACACACAAAGACACACTCACACTCGCAGAAGGCACTTAGACCCAGAGTGGAGACCCCACGCGGTGCAGAGAAGTGAGGCCACCTGCACAGCACAGGTGTGTCCAGGTGAAGCTGGAGGCTGAGAGGCCTTCCCCGCTCCCCTCTCCCACTATCATCCCGGTGTTGCTTCCAGGTGAAAATCAAGTGTTGAGGGGGAGCACCACTTAAAGTGCGGGGGTGGGGGCCGCCCATAGCCACACTCCACTCCCAACTCACACTCCACCCATAGCCACGCTCCACCAACCAACGATCCACCCACACCCGTACGCTCCACGTGTACGCTCCGCGTGTGTGGGCGTCGGTACAACGTGAATCGCGTGGCTCTCTCTGCTCAGTCTCACCGCGCGACGTGGGATGAGACTGTGGGATGACACCGTGGAGGTGACGAGGTGTCGACTGTGAAGCAGCTGCCAAATCTGGCAGAAGCAAGGAAGCCATAGCGAGGTGCGGTGGTGGTGGTGGCATTTACTGCCGTGACCTCTTGACATTGATGCCTCTTCAACCGACTGTGAATTGGGGAGGGGGCACTGTTGGGGAGGCGGCACTGCTGTTCATCGGCTGAGGGGGGGGTATGGACCTCCCCCTGCCGTCACCCACCACCAACACCCCCCCACGACCACGTGACAATTTCACACAGACCCCCACCCTCCGTGATCACGTCTCAATATCATCCGAAACTCCACGTCCCTCAACATCTCTTTGCTCACGCGTGCATTGACATCCACAACAGCGGTGGTGGAAATTCCACATTGCTACGACGGGAGCGAGTCCATCTCACATGTTTAACCATCGTTGATTACACCCGGGCACCGTCAACTCCCCAATTGCGAGAGTCCCCCCCACCCCGCCCCCTAGTAGCTTGCCACCACCACCACTACCACCGCCACCACCACCACCACTACCACCGCCACCACCGCCACCACCACCACCGCCACCGCCACCCCCTTGGGAGCCTCACTTCTACCGGGCGCACTTCCGCGAGGCACGCGACTTCCCCGCCTGCTGGGGGTAAGACGCGCGCCCGGGGGGCCCCGGGGGAGGCGGGGCAGCGTGCCGGGGCAGGTCGGGCAGCGGCAACGCGAGCACGGCGATGGGGATGCAGCCCGGGGGCAGCCCCGCGGGGGCAGGCTGCCCCGGGGCGAAGGGGAAGATCTGGTAGCCGGCCGAGCAGAGGGTGGGCAGCGCGTCGTCCGGCCTGTGGGCAGCGGTGCATCAGCAGCGGCGTCAGAAGGATCATCCGGATCAGGCATCATGATCATCATGCACGACGCCTTAAGTAGCAGCAGCAGCAGCATCGTACATCATAATCAGCAGCAGCATCATCAGTTGCGAGATCGATCGAGGTGCATCATCGCCAAGAGATCCGCTGCTGCCTCGCGTGTCCCCTCGTGCCCCGCTGTCTGCCCCAGGGCTCCAGGTGTGTTGAACTCTTTCGCACCGCACGGAGCCAATCGTGCTAATCGGAGGTGCGGGGAATGACAACAAAGGTGCCGGTCTCCCGTGTCCCCTCGGGCTCCCGTGTCTCCCCGTGTCCCCCGTGTCTCCCACGTGTCTCCCGTGTCTCCCACGTGTCTCCCGTGTCTCCCACGTGCCCCGTGTCCCCTAGTGACGCACCCCCCTCCCCACTCCGTGCCCCCCCCCCCGCTCACCCGTGGAAGCCGACGTTGTCGTACCCGCGCCCCCGCGCGCGCTCCCTTCCCGTGCGCCCTCCCACCTCTCGCTCCTCCACGAACTCCATACTGGGGACGGGGTGATGGGGGGGTGAGAGGGGGGGGGGTGATGGGGGGGAGAGAGGGGGGGGGTGATGGGGGGGGTGAGAGGGCGGGGTGATGGGGGGGGGTGAGAGGGGCGGTAATGGGGGGGATGAGAGGGGGGGTTGCGGGGTGAGCGGTGGGTGGACGCCCACGCGTTCCAACTCGGTGTATTCGCTGCATGAACAACGAAGGAGGCGCAGATCCCCCGCGTAGCCTGCACGGGCTGTGAGCGAGCGCCTATCGAGTGAGACCTGCACGTGGGTGGCCGCTGGGCAGAACCACGCCCAGCCGCCTGGGAGATGTTAACTACCTCGCCTGGTAGACAGGAGGTCGTTGATTCAATGACAACCCTGGCAGCTGTATATTTGTAGTTTGCATGTTCTCCTCGTGGTCGCGTGGATTTGTCTCCGGGTCCTCCGGATTTTTTCTCCACGTTTAGAATCAACATCACCACGCGTTTAGAGCATTTGGTTGTTATGAATTTACACGCGATAAGCCAACTTCGTTGAGCTGTCATCTGTGGTCAAGGTCTCTTCTGAAAAAAGAGCTACATAGCTGAGTGGGCCTTACTTGGTAAAATAAAAATAAAATAGTTGATAGTTTAAGACCGCAGGAGCTTCTACCTCCGGGGATCGATTCCGGCTCGACCTCTGCGAACGCCGTGGTGCCCGGACCACTCCCGCTCCTCCGGGTGCTCCACCGGGTGCCCCCCTCCGTGATCCCCTCCATGACCCCCTCCGTGACCCCCCTCGTGCCCCTCTCCGTGACCCCCCTCGTGCCCTTCTCCGTGACCCCCCCCGTGCCGCCGCTGCTGCTGCAGCTGCCGCTGCTGCTGACGTTGCAGGCGACGGCTGCGCAGGCAGCAGGATACGAAGGCGGTGGAGAGGACGAGGATGAGGGCGCCGCTCACCACGGAGGCCAGCACCGCCACGCGGTACCCCATCTCGTCCTCTAGGGGGGGGGGGGGCAGGGCCAGGGGGTGAAGGCAGGCGCAGCGTGATTGCCCTGGGTGACGTGGTGGTTATATACAAATACCGAGTGTGTGTGGCACGCGCACGGAATCTGCCACGTGTTTGGAAGGTATCCGACACTCACCGGGAGGTGTCCATATCGGGGGGGGGGGGTGATTTAGACTTGGGGGGGATTTACACCTGGGGGGTATTTACACCGGGGGGGGGGGTGTCCACTCTGTGAGAACCCTGCATCTGCTTGCGTAGGGGAGCTACGCTGACACAAACTTGGGGGGGGGGTAGGCACCTGAGTATAGTGCGGTAGTTCTGGGTGTCCGAGACACGTGTTGGCACGTGCTAGACACGTGTTGTGGGGGGTATGGGGCAGGTGCCCTGGGAGGCGTAGGAGTAGTCACCCAGGCACGTGTTGCAGTGTCTTCGCTAGGATGTTAGCGCAGCTACTCTGACACGGAGGGAAGGGGGGGGGCTCCTGGGTTACCCTGGCAGACGGGCGGGGGGTCGCTCCACGTGGGGGTCCCGTCCCGCAGGGAGCACGTGATGCGCGCCCCCCCCGCGAGGCGGTACCCCGCGCGGCACGCGAACAGCAGCACCGCTCCCGGGGCCAGCGCCCCCCCCGCAGCGCCGACCCCCACCAGCGACTCGTTCCGCGACTCCAGGGAGAGCCAGCCCCCCAAGGGGGGCGCCACCTCGGGGCACGAGACCCCCTCGCCTGGGGTGGAGCGCCCAGACCGAGGGGGGCAGTAGGGGTAGGGGGGTCCGGAACGACATGGGACAGAGTCAAGGGGTGAGGGGGCCCGTGTGGTTGTAGAGATGTGATCGATAAGGGGATCCTGGACCCCCCTCCCGCCTCCCTATGCATCCCTGTTTGTTGTTGGTGTGGTTTAAGAGTCAAGGCGGCGAA